TTAATCACAGGCTGTAGCAGTCCCATAGTTCAGAACAGGAATATCAGATACAACCAAACCCATGCTATCATTGGCAAGGATATCTACATTTCTTCTAGCAGTACTCATCTCACTAAGAGGGAAGTCCAAATAGACACCTATTTGCATATGCTTTGTAGAAACCTACCAGAATTTAGTAGGTAAGTTCACCAAAGACTTTATTTCTATTAAACACTCATTTATATCAAGTCCTATGGCAGGAACATGTTCTTTTGTTTACTGGATTTGTCTTGAATCTGCTTATTTACCATTCTGCCTTCCTTTGTCATATATGTAACAGTTATGAAATGTTTCCTATAATTTCGTCTTCAGCTTTCCCTACAGCAGCTCAAATTGTTCACTAACTTTCATGAGAGAGGAAGCGGCAAAAAGCTTCAATTGCAATTAACTAGACTGTGGTTAGCAGAACTGTAGCACAAAACATCACTTTTAGTTACCAGAAGTACCTCTATACTTATATTTATTAGAAAATTACTTTTCATAAGCTGTGCTAATTCTTTTTTATAGTATTTGGATCAAAGTGCACGCAAAGAGAAAAGTTAGAAACAGATGAATTCACAAATTTACATGCTAATTGCACATTCTTGCATTTGAGCTCTATTTAATTTTTTTTTCCTTCTTACACAATTATAAGCAACACGGTTTTATGCTTTTTTTTTTTTTTTTTTTTTTTTTTCTTCCTAGTAACAAACTCCACATTTGCAAATTCAAGTAGGTATGCTGAACAGATTACATATCTTTGTTCAGTAACCTTGATTTTCTCTTGTACCGGTCCTCAGCAATTTAAAAGTCATTGGCAGCCTAGGGGCATAATATTAAAAAATGGATTTCACGTGATATGCATTTCTTTTCAGTTTTTATTATTTACCGATGTATAATCAAATGGATATTAAGATGTTATGTTATAATCACAAAAAAGAACAAGAGAGTTAGGCAAAATAGACTAAGATAACAAGAGAGAATAAATGGAAGGCCTACCCATATGCTAGGCTCACCCAAAAAAAACACCAGAAGAGGGGATCTCCAGACGAGATCCTTCCCCACTGGCAGCCAGCTCTTAAATAGGTCTAGGAGGGATGGAGCCAAGCTCCACCCCTTCCTGCAGCACAGGTGAATTGCCTTCAGCTGTGCTCCTCTGGCTGACTCATGGCTCGCCTCAGGTGATCAATCAGAGGTTCAGGCCATGATTCAGCAGTTCCCATACAACTAAAAATTTAATATTGTTCTAAGAAAAATAAAAAGAATATTGTGTTCTATTCACGCTTCTAATCTCTACCCTTCTTGGGATTTCCTTGAAATAATAGTATTCAAAAGGAAATGCAGGGCTGCTCTTATTTCCTAAAAGGAGATTCCACAAGAGTTGGCAGCTACATTTTTAAAAGTCCCTTAAGAATTGGAAAATAAACAAAGAATCTATAATTGACTTTTTTTTCCTCCAGTCAGAAGCCGTATGGTCTCTAAATTCTACTGTGTATATACAAACTTGAATAATAATTTATTAATTTTGAAGAGCTACAGTTACAATAATAGAAGTGTGTTTTTCCCTGAGCATAGCATTCATAATAGTCTTCTGAAAATAGGTTTCTGTAAATCTTCTGTAGAGTTCAAAAAAGGAAGAAAAGCTTTCTTTAAGAAGTTTCGTTTTCTGTGTTATTCTTCAACAGCATGACGCAGAAAGAGAATAAGAAAATTAAGGCAGTAATCGTAAAATAAAGTAAATCACTGCTTCAAACCATAACAAAGTCAAACTGCACAAATATATGGTCAGATCCAAAACTATATAACTTCTTAAAGATTCTCATATAAGATAACACCTATGTTGTTATTAATAATAAGTTCTGTGAAGCTTACCTGTTGCACAGAAGGGACAGATGGTGTGAGCACTTTTATCCACCTGAAGTCAGACATTCCATAGGAACACAATATGAACACCAGATGAGTTCATTTAAGCGTTATTGATGGTACTAGTAATAAGAAAGTCAGTAGTATCACACCTCTATGTATATTGCTTGTGCACACAAAAAGTATGTTACTCTACAACTTCTATAATTTTCACACCAACTATGGTGCCAAACACAGACTTAACCAAGACCTAGACTTCCTGAGCATGCTCTGATACACCCGTCACACAGCATATTTTTTATCATTTAAGTTAACGCTCAGGCCCAATACCAAAGTTTTCTTCCATCTCCCTCTTATCTCAAATTCCCTGCTCAAAAATCAGCCTTCACTCTCTGGATGCTGCAGCACCAGTCCTGACATATTGGAACACATATGTTCACCAGATGAAGGTAAATGATTTCAATAAGCTTATCATCCATCATCTGCTGCAGGGCTATGTGAAACCTTGCTATGACTCCTAACAATTTCTGTAGATTATTTTAGATCACTCTAAACTATTTTGTCAGATAAACAAACACCAAAGAAAATTTTGCTGTTCACAATTAAGTCCAACACATGACTTTTCATTGTAACTTTGTGCACTCTGATGGACTTAGTCCATGTGTACAAATCTGTACTAAAATATTTCAGATGGTAAAGACATTTAAAGAGGTTCTCCATCTATTTTATGTTGGTTTGCATCACAGCTCCCTGTTTGTGGCTTTTGTTGATACTGTTGTTTGAAGCAAGAGACTACTGTCAAAAAAAAAAAAAAAAAAAAAACCCAACAGATGACTGAAATTAAGATAAAGGAAAAAAAAAAATCAAGCAAAGAAACTACATAAAAAATATTAGATCTTTTTCATAAACTAACATTTCCTCCTAATGATCTTCTTCCTTGCTCATCTTGAGATAGCCTCCAGATAATTCAGTTTCTTCTCCTATTGTGGTACTTGAAAGCTGACATAGCTCCTTCAGCTGTGATTTAAATGTATTCTTTATAAAGAAGTTACCTCTTCAATGTCAGGTGAGTTGTTCTGATCATACATATATGACTATGTTATGCAGGTCAACACTTCTGTAGCTGTTCACTGCCATAAGTTTTCCAGTAGGAAGCTTAAATTGAATACAGTTACAAAATAGAAAGACAATGATGTAATATATAAAGTACATAAATGATTCAGACTTCTCTCAACTGCTAATAAGCAACTGCATAGAGAAATTCATACTGAATTAACTTGTGTAAGGAGAACTAATTACTACACTGTTTCATAGCTAACATTCTTAGAATTTTGAAGCATTCCATATATGATTACAAATTTTTAAAAATACTTCAATAATTCTTAAAACATTACTTGTACTATTTTCATTCACTAATTCGAAGTCTTCATTTTCCTTCATTATGTAGAACGAGGAATCTTTAAACTCAGTAGGTGAAGAATACCCAAAATACGTATCAATAAAGGCGGGTCCAAGTAAAGTGAGGCATTAAATGTTCATTCAGAAATGCCCTATTTCCTTGGTTGCTATTATACCTTGATTGTACATTAGATACAAAAAACAAACCAAGTAGTAGCCCAGAAAGCTTTGCAGCAATGTAATTTTTGTCTTCTGTGCACTTCGAGTGATCAAAGCAACGACGAAAGATGTTAACAGTCTGAACCTTAACCAAAGGGCCAACCATTCCACACTGAACACACAGAAGAACACACCTGGCACCTGAGAATAAATGAGCACTGTCATCTGCACCCGGCAGAAAGACTGGAACTGGTTTGTTTTTCAATTAAATGAAGCTCCACACTTCAAAAGTTCTTCACATAAATTTCCTTAGTGGAACTAAAACAGAAAATGCGTTTCAGAACAACCTCTAACACACTTAGTAACAGTTATTAAATATTTTGAGCAGTATTAAAGAAGGCCAAACTAAAAACTCCACAAATTTAGTACTTCACTTAACAAACAACTTCACAGCAGTTGAGTCATTACATTTCAATGCCACTTTTTGACTAAAGGAAAACAGAAAATAAAACTAAGGAAAAATGTTAATAGCTAGAATATTAAAACAAGAAAAAAAAAACTCAAACAACTCAAAGCTATTATTAAAAACACATACACATATTTATTGCCTGGAATTGTTGCACAAAAACATGGTTTAACTTGATTTCTAAAAAATAATAACAATTACTATGACAATAAAAAGTTTCATAATAAAAAGTTACTAGCATCATACACCAATGTTTTAATTACAAATTATTAATACAAACAACACAGGAAGTGAAACAAAATAAACAACTGAAGCTCACAAAAGAAAAGGGATAACAGTCTCAAAACAATGATTATTCAAACACATATGTAAAAAAAAAAAAGTACAGTTTAATTTCTTAATGCCGCGATTGTAACAGCATAAAACAAAGAACATGAAACAAGGATATTTCAAAAAGAAAATTAAATCTATGACATAAAAGATATAAAAGATTCTAAAAAAAAAAAAAAAAACACACACAAAAAAAAACAACCAACAAGATCCTTCAAACGTGCACATCAATGATGGAGCAGAGTAAAACCTGAAAAAAAAAAAAAAAAAAAAAAAGACAAGATGAAACAAAGAGCAAACAAAACAACACCAAAAAAAAAAAAAAAAAAAAAAAAAAGGAAGCAGACAACCCTTGCATGAGCACCACAAAGCCAGTGTGGGGTTGTACACAGTGTCAGGGAGGGGTCGTTCCCACAAGCTGGCTAGAGCAGCCGGCTGCGCTACTGCAGCCTCCCCAGACCTGCTTACAGGAGGGCGGGCTGCTCAGGGAACAGAGGGACCCAGGGCTCGTGACACACACCCCGAGTACAGGGCTGCCACGCCGGCACATCGCCAGCAGGACAGGCATCCGCGCAGGCACAGACCCGAGCCCTGGCTACAGGGCGGCCTTGGCCACGGAACTACCGCGCTACCGCTGCTCTGTCCTAAGGAAAAAAAGGGGTGAGACAAGAGGACACCCGCTCCACTCGCGGGACTGAGCGGGAACACCCCGCTGACTTGATGCATCAAGTCCTCCATTCCCCCCTGGAAAGCCAAAGCTAAGCTGCAGCCATTTTCAGGGAGGCCTACAAGGAAAGCTCAATCGCTCTGTCACCCACGCAAACGCAAACAAGGAAAGGAAGGGGAACACTCGCACACAGGTACGGCTTTCCAGAAGGGAAGGAGAACACAGCGCAGCCAATGACCAGGCAAAAAACCCGGATCCACGAGCAGCAGACAAGAGCCTCTGACCCGCCCCCAGGCTGCACGGAGGCCACGGACCTCAACGTGCCAGGGGGTCTTTCTCAGGGGGCCAAGGGCCAAATGGCGCGACACGCACCCCGACTACAGGGCTGTCACGCTGGCAGGTCACCAGCAGGTAACCGCGCCGAGGGGCGGGAGGAAGGGTGGCAGGGAAAGGGCGCTACCCTGCTTACAGGGTGCCCTCAGGGTCCAGCGAGCTCCGTTTCCCACTCGGGTGCGGAGAGGTGGCTCTCGCCCTCCGTACAGGGGGCCACACTCCCCGGGCAGCCAAAGGAGCAACAAGGCAAAAGGCCAACTACAGCAAAAGACCCGAGCCCTGGTTGCAGGGAGGTCGCCCAGCACAAAGCCCACCTGGTCACCCAAGGGGCCGGCAATGCTCTACTCTTATGTGACATGCTTTTGCCCAGGGAGCCTCTCTCTTTGCCCATCTGTAGTAGTCTCCTTCCTTCCTCTTCTTGCTCGCTCTTGCCTTGGTGTTCCACCTCCTGATTCTTCTTTCTTCACCAGCTGATCCTTCAGATGAAGGAGGCCACCCTTAGTCCCGAGGACCACCAACTGCCCCACCCAAAGGAAACAGGGAAGCAGGTGCCCCGAGGGCCTCCCGCACACAACCACCCAGACACAAGAGGCCCTACGTTCCCCACCCCCCAACTGACACAGAAGACAAACAAACAAAAACAAAAACACAACACACAACTTAAAGCAGATTTCCTCACCACATCGATGCACTGCGGAGATCTGGCTGGTGCTGCAGCAGGGCGCAGAGTCGGGCAGCCTGGGCAAACAGAGCTGGGCACACAAAGCAGCGGCCAAAGAGTCGGCTCGTCCCTGCTTACAGGGAGGCCCCAGCCACGGCTTCCATTGCAAAATGCCTGGGACTCCAGCGCCACGCCCTCACTTACAGGGAAGCCCTGGTCCCAAGCCCTGAGGGAGGCTCCTTCTCTCCCAGTCAGGGGCACCCGCTAACAGGGCGGTCTCCCCACACAGGCTGCCAGCAGAGCACAAAGGCTCCCACACCCAGACCCTGATTACAGGCGGGCCCACAACACCCACGGAGCCACAGAGCTCGGTTTCCCCCACAGCAGCAGGAACGACTCTCAGCAGCCAGGCAGTGGGGCGGTAGGGCCAAAGGCCACGGTCACGATCCAGAAGTCCCAATTTCCAGGTAGGGTGCAAGCCCAGCCCCATGCCTCTGAAAGGCCGGGGACAGAGAGACCCACTTGAGTACAAGGGGTTCCTCAGAAATCATCTCACCAAGACCGGGTGGGGGGGGCGCACAGCCCTGCTACAGGACAGCACCCCACGCCTCACCATCTCCAAAACGCCCCACGGAGCACGCAGCTCCTGCCAGCGCCCGAGCGACGGGCCGGCCTGCCCGGCTGCAGCACAGCACCACATGTCTGGGAGCCCAGGGAGCAACCTCGACCCACGCAGAAGGGAGGTCACCCCAACCTCAAGCAGCACCTCAACCTGCACCCTCTAGCGGGCCAGGGAGGGGTCGTTCCCACAAGCTGGCTAGAGCAGCCGGCTGCGCTACTGCAGCCTCCCCAGACCTGCTTACAGGAGGGCGGGCTGCTCAGGGAACAGAGGGACCCAGGGCTCGTGACACACACCCCGAGTACAGGGCTGCCACGCCGGCACATCGCCAGCAGGACAGGCATCCGCGCAGGCACAGACCCGAGCCCTGGCTACAGGGCGGCCTTGGCCACGGAACTACCGCGCTACCGCTGCTCTGTCCTAAGGAAAAAAAGGGGTGAGACAAGAGGACACCCGCTCCACTCGCGGGACTGAGCGGGAACACCCCGCTGACTTGATGCATCAAGTCCTCCATTCCCCCCTGGAAAGCCAAAGCTAAGCTGCAGCCATTTTCAGGGAGGCCTACAAGGAAAGCTCAATCGCTCTGTCACCCACGCAAACGCAAACAAGGAAAGGAAGGGGAACACTCGCACACAGGTACGGCTTTCCAGAAGGGAAGGAGAACACAGCGCAGCCAATGACCAGGCAAAAAACCCGGATCCACGAGCAGCAGACAAGAGCCTCTGACCCGCCCCCAGGCTGCACGGAGGCCACGGACCTCAACGTGCCAGGGGGTCTTTCTCAGGGGGCCAAGGGCCAAATGGCGCGACACGCACCCCGACTACAGGGCTGTCACGCTGGCAGGTCACCAGCAGGTAACCGCGCCGAGGGGCGGGAGGAAGGGTGGCAGGGAAAGGGCGCTACCCTGCTTACAGGGTGCCCTCAGGGTCCAGCGAGCTCCGTTTCCCACTCGGGTGCGGAGAGGTGGCTCTCGCCCTCCGTACAGGGGGCCACACTCCCCGGGCAGCCAAAGGAGCAACAAGGCAAAAGGCCAACTACAGCAAAAGACCCGAGCCCTGGTTGCAGGGAGGTCGCCCAGCACAAAGCCCACCTGGTCACCCAAGGGGCCGGCAATGCTCTACTCTTATGTGACATGCTTTTGCCCAGGGAGCCTCTCTCTTTGCCCATCTGTAGTAGTCTCCTTCCTTCCTCTTCTTGCTCGCTCTTGCCTTGGTGTTCCACCTCCTGATTCTTCTTTCTTCACCAGCTGATCCTTCAGATGAAGGAGGCCACCCTTAGTCCCGAGGACCACCAACTGCCCCACCCAAAGGAAACAGGGAAGCAGGTGCCCCGAGGGCCTCCCGCACACAACCACCCAGACACAAGAGGCCCTACGTTCCCCACCCCCCAACTGACACAGAAGACAAACAAACAAAAACAAAAACACAACACACAACTTAAAGCAGATTTCCTCACCACATCGATGCACTGCGGAGATCTGGCTGGTGCTGCAGCAGGGCGCAGAGTCGGGCAGCCTGGGCAAACAGAGCTGGGCACACAAAGCAGCGGCCAAAGAGTCGGCTCGTCCCTGCTTACAGGGAGGCCCCAGCCACGGCTTCCATTGCAAAATGCCTGGGACTCCAGCGCCACGCCCTCACTTACAGGGAAGCCCTGGTCCCAAGCCCTGAGGGAGGCTCCTTCTCTCCCAGTCAGGGGCACCCGCTAACAGGGCGGTCTCCCCACACAGGCTGCCAGCAGAGCACAAAGGCTCCCACACCCAGACCCTGATTACAGGCGGGCCCACAACACCCACGGAGCCACAGAGCTCGGTTTCCCCCACAGCAGCAGGAACGACTCTCAGCAGCCAGGTAGTGGGGCGGTAGGGCCAAAGGCCACGGTCACGATCCAGAAGTCCCAATTTCCAGGTAGGGTGCAAGCCCAGCCCCATGCCTCTGAAAGGCCGGGGACAGAGAGACCCACTTGAGTACAAGGGGTTCCTCAGAAATCATCTCACCAAGACCGGGTGGGGGGGGCGCACAGCCCTGCTACAGGACAGCACCCCACGCCTCACCATCTCCAAAACGCCCCACGGAGCACGCAGCTCCTGCCAGCGCCCGAGCGACGGGCCGGCCTGCCCGGCTGCAGCACAGCACCACATGTCTGGGAGCCCAGGGAGCAACCTCGACCCACGCAGAAGGGAGGTCACCCCAACCTCAAGCAGCACCTCAACCTGCACCCTCTAGCGGGCCAGGGAGGGGTCGTTCCCACAAGCTGGCTAGAGCAGCCGGCTGCGCTACTGCAGCCTCCCCAGACCTGCTTACAGGAGGGCGGGCTGCTCAGGGAACAGAGGGACCCAGGGCTCGTGACACACACCCCGAGTACAGGGCTGCCACGCCGGCACATCGCCAGCAGGACAGGCATCCGCGCAGGCACAGACCCGAGCCCTGGCTACAGGGCGGCCTTGGCCACGGAACTACCGCGCTACCGCTGCTCTGTCCTAAGGAAAAAAAGGGGTGAGACAAGAGGACACCCGCTCCACTCGCGGGACTGAGCGGGAACACCCCGCTGACTTGATGCATCAAGTCCTCCATTCCCCCCTGGAAAGCCAAAGCTAAGCTGCAGCCATTTTCAGGGAGGCCTACAAGGAAAGCTCAATCGCTCTGTCACCCACGCAAACGCAAACAAGGAAAGGAAGGGGAACACTCGCACACAGGTACGGCTTTCCAGAAGGGAAGGAGAACACAGCGCAGCCAATGACCAGGCAAAAAACCCGGATCCACGAGCAGCAGACAAGAGCCTCTGACCCGCCCCCAGGCTGCACGGAGGCCACGGACCTCAACGTGCCAGGGGGTCTTTCTCAGGGGGCCAAGGGCCAAATGGCGCGACACGCACCCCGACTACAGGGCTGTCACGCTGGCAGGTCACCAGCAGGTAACCGCGCCGAGGGGCGGGAGGAAGGGTGGCAGGGAAAGGGCGCTACCCTGCTTACAGGGTGCCCTCAGGGTCCAGCGAGCTCCGTTTCCCACTCGGGTGCGGAGAGGTGGCTCTCGCCCTCCGTACAGGGGGCCACACTCCCCGGGCAGCCAAAGGAGCAACAAGGCAAAAGGCCAACTACAGCAAAAGACCCGAGCCCTGGTTGCAGGGAGGTCGCCCAGCACAAAGCCCACCTGGTCACCCAAGGGGCCGGCAATGCTCTACTCTTATGTGACATGCTTTTGCCCAGGGAGCCTCTCTCTTTGCCCATCTGTAGTAGTCTCCTTCCTTCCTCTTCTTGCTCGCTCTTGCCTTGGTGTTCCACCTCCTGATTCTTCTTTCTTCACCAGCTGATCCTTCAGATGAAGGAGGCCACCCTTAGTCCCGAGGACCACCAACTGCCCCACCCAAAGGAAACAGGGAAGCAGGTGCCCCGAGGGCCTCCCGCACACAACCACCCAGACACAAGAGGCCCTACGTTCCCCACCCCCCAACTGACACAGAAGACAAACAAACAAAAACAAAAACACAACACACAACTTAAAGCAGATTTCCTCACCACATCGATGCACTGCGGAGATCTGGCTGGTGCTGCAGCAGGGCGCAGAGTCGGGCAGCCTGGGCAAACAGAGCTGGGCACACAAAGCAGCGGCCAAAGAGTCGGCTCGTCCCTGCTTACAGGGAGGCCCCAGCCACGGCTTCCATTGCAAAATGCCTGGGACTCCAGCGCCACGCCCTCACTTACAGGGAAGCCCTGGTCCCAAGCCCTGAGGGAGGCTCCTTCTCTCCCAGTCAGGGGCACCCGCTAACAGGGCGGTCTCCCCACACAGGCTGCCAGCAGAGCACAAAGGCTCCCACACCCAGACCCTGATTACAGGCGGGCCCACAACACCCATGGAGCCACAGAGCTCGGTTTCCCCCACAGCAGCAGGAACGACTCTCAGCAGCCAGGTAGTGGGGCGGTAGGGCCAAAGGCCACGGTCACGATCCAGAAGTCCCAATTTCCAGGTAGGGTGCAAGCCCAGCCCCATGCCTCTGAAAGGCCGGGGACAGAGAGACCCACTTGAGTACAAGGGGTTCCTCAGAAATCATCTCACCAAGACCGGGTGGGGGGGGCGCACAGCCCTGCTACAGGACAGCACCCCACGCCTCACCATCTCCAAAACGCCCCACGGAGCACGCAGCTCCTGCCAGCGCCCGAGCGACGGGCCGGCCTGCCCGGCTGCAGCACAGCACCACATGTCTGGGAGCCCAGGGAGCAACCTCGACCCACGCAGAAGGGAGGTCACCCCAACCTCAAGCAGCACCTCAACCTGCACCCTCTAGCGGGCCAGGGAGGGGTCGTTCCCACAAGCTGGCTAGAGCAGCCGGCTGCGCTACTGCAGCCTCCCCAGACCTGCTTACAGGAGGGCGGGCTGCTCAGGGAACAGAGGGACCCAGGGCTCGTGACACACACCCCGAGTACAGGGCTGCCACGCCGGCACATCGCCAGCAGGACAGGCATCCGCGCAGGCACAGACCCGAGCCCTGGCTACAGGGCGGCCTTGGCCACGGAACTACCGCGCTACCGCTGCTCTGTCCTAAGGAAAAAAAGGGGTGAGACAAGAGGACACCCGCTCCACTCGCGGGACTGAGCGGGAACACCCCGCTGACTTGATGCATCAAGTCCTCCATTCCCCCCTGGAAAGCCAAAGCTAAGCTGCAGCCATTTTCAGGGAGGCCTACAAGGAAAGCTCAATCGCTCTGTCACCCACGCAAACACAAACAAGGAAAGGAAGGGGAACACTCGCACACAGGTACGGCTTTCCAGAAGGGAAGGAGAACACAGCGCAGCCAATGACCAGGCAAAAAACCCGGATCCACGAGCAGCAGACAAGAGCCTCTGACCCGCCCCCAGGCTGCACGGAGGCCACGGACCTCAACGTGCCAGGGGGTCTTTCTCAGGGGGCCAAGGGCCAAATGGCGCGACACGCACCCCGACTACAGGGCTGTCACGCTGGCAGGTCACCAGCAGGTAACCGCGCCGAGGGGCGGGAGGAAGGGTGGCAGGGAAAGGGCGCTACCCTGCTTACAGGGTGCCCTCAGGGTCCAGCGAGCTCCGTTTCCCACTCGGGTGCGGAGAGGTGGCTCTCGCCCTCCGTACAGGGGGCCACACTCCCCGGGCAGCCAAAGGAGCAACAAGGCAAAAGGCCAACTACAGCAAAAGACCCGAGCCCTGGTTGCAGGGAGGTCGCCCAGCACAAAGCCCACCTGGTCACCCAAGGGGCCGGCAATGCTCTACTCTTATGTGACATGCTTTTGCCCAGGGAGCCTCTCTCTTTGCCCATCTGTAGTAGTCTCCTTCCTTCCTCTTCTTGCTCGCTCTTGCCTTGGTGTTCCACCTCCTGATTCTTCTTTCTTCACCAGCTGATCCTTCAGATGAAGGAGGCCACCCTTAGTCCCGAGGACCACCAACTGCCCCACCCAAAGGAAACAGGGAAGCAGGTGCCCCGAGGGCCTCCCGCACACAACCACCCAGACACAAGAGGCCCTACGTTCCCCACCCCCCAACTGACACAGAAGACAAACAAACAAAAACAAAAACACAACACACAACTTAAAGCAGATTTCCTCACCACATCGATGCACTGCGGAGATCTGGCTGGTGCTGCAGCAGGGCGCAGAGTCGGGCAGCCTGGGCAAACAGAGCTGGGCACACAAAGCAGCGGCCAAAGAGTCGGCTCGTCCCTGCTTACAGGGAGGCCCCAGCCACGGCTTCCATTGCAAAATGCCTGGGACTCCAGCGCCACGCCCTCACTTACAGGGAAGCCCTGGTCCCAAGCCCTGAGGGAGGCTCCTTCTCTCCCAGTCAGGGGCACCCGCTAACAGGGCGGTCTCCCCACACAGGCTGCCAGCAGAGCACAAAGGCTCCCACACCCAGACCCTGATTACAGGCGGGCCCACAACACCCACGGAGCCACAGAGCTCGGTTTCCCCCACAGCAGCAGGAACGACTCTCAGCAGCCAGGCAGTGGGGCGGTAGGGCCAAAGGCCACGGTCACGATCCAGAAGTCCCAATTTCCAGGTAGGGTGCAAGCCCAGCCCCATGCCTCTGAAAGGCCGGGGACAGAGAGACCCACTTGAGTACAAGGGGTTCCTCAGAAATCATCTCACCAAGACCGGGTGGGGGGGGCGCACAGCCCTGCTACAGGACAGCACCCCACGCCTCACCATCTCCAAAACGCCCCACGGAGCACGCAGCTCCTGCCAGCGCCCGAGCGACGGGCCGGCCTGCCCGGCTGCAGCACAGCACCACATGTCTGGGAGCCCAGGGAGCAACCTCGACCCACGCAGAAGGGAGGTCACCCCAACCTCAAGCAGCACCTCAACCTGCACCCTCTAGCGGGCCAGGGAGGGGTCGTTCCCACAAGCTGGCTAGAGCAGCCGGCTGCGCTACTGCAGCCTCCCCAGACCTGCTTACAGGAGGGCGGGCTGCTCAGGGAACAGAGGGACCCAGGGCTCGTGACACACACCCCGAGTACAGGGCTGCCACGCCGGCACATCGCCAGCAGGACAGGCATCCGCGCAGGCACAGACCCGAGCCCTGGCTACAGGGCGGCCTTGGCCACGGAACTACCGCGCTACCGCTGCTCTGTCCTAAGGAAAAAAAGGGGTGAGACAAGAGGACACCCGCTCCACTCGCGGGACTGAGCGGGAACACCCCGCTGACTTGATGCATCAAGTCCTCCATTCCCCCCTGGAAAGCCAAAGCTAAGCTGCAGCCATTTTCAGGGAGGCCTACAAGGAAAGCTCAATCGCTCTGTCACCCACGCAAACGCAAACAAGGAAAGGAAGGGGAACACTCGCACACAGGTACGGCTTTCCAGAAGGGAAGGAGAACACAGCGCAGCCAATGACCAGGCAAAAAACCCGGATCCACGAGCAGCAGACAAGAGCCTCTGACCCGCCCCCAGGCTGCACGGAGGCCACGGACCTCAACGTGCCAGGGGGTCTTTCTCAGGGGGCCAAGGGCCAAATGGCGCGACACGCACCCCGACTACAGGGCTGTCACGCTGGCAGGTCACCAGCAGGTAACCGCGCCGAGGGGCGGGAGGAAGGGTGGCAGGGAAAGGGCGCTACCCTGCTTACAGGGTGCCCTCAGGGTCCAGCGAGCTCCGTTTCCCACTCGGGTGCGGAGAGGTGGCTCTCGCCCTCCGTACAGGGGGCCACACTCCCCGGGCAGCCAAAGGAGCAACAAGGCAAAAGGCCAACTACAGCAAAAGACCCGAGCCCTGGTTGCAGGGAGGTCGCCCAGCACAAAGCCCACCTGGTCACCCAAGGGGCCGGCAATGCTCTACTCTTATGTGACATGCTTTTGAACGGCATTTGTCTTTTTCAGCCCGGTAACGTTGATCTTTGCTCCCGTCAGGCGCTGCTGTGCCCGACTCCCCCCCTCCCTCACCGTACCCCTCGTCCGTCAGTCACTCTGCCCGCGCACTTTTCCCGCCTCTCCTCCCTCACACTCGGCGCTCCTCAGCCAGAGAACTATTCCCGCCGCCTCCCCTCTTCAGACACCCCTCAGCGCACGAAGAATTCTCGCCTCTCCTCCCTCACTCCTACCGTTCCTCAGCCTAGGAACGATTCCCGCCTCCACTCACACTCCATCAAAGCTCCTGAAGCCCAGGAACGACTCCACTCTCCCCCGCCCATCCCCTCAGGCGCCCATCAGCCCCACGAACGATTCCCACCTCCCACCCCCTCTCACGTCCTCCTCAGCTGGGAACGACACCCACCTCCGCCACCTCTCAACCCACCAACCTTCCTTGGCGACTCTGTCTCTTTCCTGCTCTACGCCATCCTGCCCCACCGCCGCCGCCAACATCCTTCCTTCAAGCCCAGCAGCAATGCTACTTGTCCCCTCACCTTAGACCGTACAGCTTTTTTCTGGCTTCCTCTTCGAACGTTCACCCGCCTATCGCACTCTGAGGAAAACAGCTGTCTCTCACCTGCCCGTCGTGCGCCAGGTGTCCCACTGCCTGCCAGCCAATAGGAGCAAAGAACGCAGCTCTTACTTCCCGCTTTTTTTTTTTTTTTTTTTTTTTTTTTTAAATGAAAAAAATCTCATTGCACCGTTTGCGCCTTTTTCATTTGGATGCAGCTGGGTCGGGGTTATCTGAAAGTTATCTCACCTCAGAGCAGGGCCGCCTCACAGGTGGTCTCGTCTCATAAACCGAGCACTTTCTCGGAGCTTCTTCTCTTCTGGCGTTTATTTGCTTAGTTGCATCGACTTCCCAGGTGTCTGCCCCCATAGGGAAGATCCCTTCTGAACTTTGAAATATTGCTACAGTGAGAAAAATATGAAAACAGATGATGCCTGATGGCCCCATCTCACCTAGTTAAACACTTAGCAGACAGATTGTATCTCATTGTAGCCATTTATTTCTCGAGTTCGATCTGCAGTTTCACTTCTACCGCCCCCTGGTCAGGGCACAGCAGTGACTGAGCAGCTCCTTGGGTTAACAGCACACAGCTGGGATATGGGTGCAGCTGCACTTCTTTCACCTGTTTATAGCCTGATAGAAACACAGTAAGGTGCACATTAAATATATTATGAAAGTATTTTTAACTATCATGAGAAATACAATTTTTATTTGTTTGTTTATTTATTTATTTAGGAGTAGATGAGAGAAAAATTGTAAGTTTCAATATAGAATTTTTTGTAGCTGCAAGGTGTGGAGTGATGTGTAATCTTCTCTGAGAATTATAAAAATCTGGTGAAAATAGTGGTAAATGTGGCTTCTTAACTTTTTTCAAAGTTTAGTTTGAAAAAATAACTCTTATTTTGTTTGTTTTTTTTTCTAAGAATTGAATTAAACATTCTTTCTTTCTGAGAGGTCCTTGTAATTTTTACATACTTAGACTTGCTTACTAACTAGTTTATGTATTTAGATATTCTTAGCACAAGGAAGTCCTTAAGAAAGTCTTTCTTAATAACTAACGGCTTAATTTTCTATAAACTAAGATCAGTATTTCATAGAAAGTACCCTTCTTTTTATGGCTTCTTTTTTTAAAAAATATATATATATTTTAAAAACCTTACATTTCTTAGGTTTACTCTAAAATAAAAAATTAGTTGTTTCAACCTTTCTACCAGTCATATTTCATAGATGCTTTGCCTTCTTGATCATATTCTTCAGGACTGACTCCAGTACCAAAAGCATTACTCCATAAACTGATCAAAATTATCCATGAGACCTCATCAAGTTAAAGAGCAGAATTATTTGTATACGTAAAGTAATTGCATACAGTGATTATATGACTATACACACCAGCAGTTTAACTTTTCAGATTTCCTGATCACCTACTTATTTCCCATCTTGTATTTACTATCACTTTTTTGAGAATGGTAATTTGTTCTCATCAAACTGAATTCTATTTTTTTGTGTGTGTGTTACACAGTTTCTCTAGTCTATCGAGATCAGTTGTTTCAGAAGTATGTCATCTGTCTCAATTTGTGTGTAGACTTTGTGTAAACCTACATTATATTTCAGCCATCAGGCAAGTAATGTTAGTGCTGACCAGAACAGGATTTGGGACAGACTTTCTATTAACCAGTGGTTATTAGCACATGATTTTTAACTGTTTCTCTAGCCATATGGTGATTTTACAAAAATATTTGCTAACAAAAAATAGTATGTGAAACCTCTCATTCTATCATTAAAATCACTTCTCCTGCTTTATGCCATATATATATAGATCAATCATTGATTAGAAGAGAAAGTTTATTTGTCTTGACAAGTGTTCTTCTTACAAATCCATTTCAGCTGCTTCTTCACCTTGCTATCCTCTATGCTCATAACTAAGTTGTTTAATAATTTATTCTACCATCTTTTGGGGCAACAAAGTTCACCTGTCTAGTCTGTAATCTTCTCATTTTAGTATTTAGTATTTTAAGGTAGCTTAATTAAGCATTGGAACATTGTCATGTTACTAGCATACACTGTGGGGGGGGGGGGGGGGGGGAAAAGATTGTTATCTACCTACAGTGTCTATGATTCAGTGAATCTGGTGTTTTAAACTGATGGAGAAATTTACAGGAAACTGCTTTGAACAATGTGTCGCAGGGACATAGCATGAAAGGAAAAAGGGAGATTGACCTAAAATATTTTGGAAGTAAGGGAAAGTCTCCTAACCAGGGATTCTGACTTTGGATAAGGCCCTTAGTATGTGCCTGGTACTTGCATGAGTCTGGCACCTCCATCAGTTTGTCACATAGATCAGTTTATGAGCCTGACTATACAAACTGAGAAGTATTTACAATGACTTTGCCTTTACACAAAATGGGAAACAACGATATACAGACCATAATTTTATTGACAAATGTAGTTCTGCATATTTTATGGGAGAAGTTTGTCACTTTATCACTGTGATAAGTTTTCTGTGTCCATTCTGAACAATGGAATCACTGTAAATTGTTAAGAAAGATCAAATTTTCTGATTAAAAGGTAAGGAAAAACTATTTCATTAAAATATTATTTTAACAATTTCAGTAGTGGTACTAATCCCCCATCTTATACCAAACTTGGCATAAAAGCATACATTTGTATATAAACATACTAACACATTTTAGAAACATATGCTAATCTTGAATATATGCTAGAATTCTTCAGTCATAAAATTAGGTTTTACAATGTACTGCGAGAAATTAATGCAATTTATGAAATGTGCTTCATTAACATTTACGGCTCCGAGGCAATTTTTGATGATGTGTAATTTCTTAGTATCTGTGGGACCATTGTCAATAAGCATTGAGCACAAGCAATGCATGTCCTGTAACCAGGTTTCAAAGACTTGATCAGTGAATTTGTCATAGAAATTCAAACAATCTTATTTAATTTATTGTTACTTTTGCTTATAGAATTATTTAAGTAAAATCAAGCTAAACATGGAATTTACTTTATGGTCAGGGAGTTGAAACTACACAGAAGAGATTTAGTAGAGCATTCAATTTGCATAAATACAGAATTATTTTTGACAAGAAGATTCAGAGATATTCAAGATTTAAGCCAGTTTTGCACTTTAAAAATCATGCATGTTGTTAGACATCTCTAGAATTAGATACCTCATTAATGCTGTTGAATGATATGAAAGCCTACATTCTGAAAAAACAAACAAAGAAACAAACAAAAAAACCCTTCAAAAGTACTTAAAGTCAGAAAAACAGAACTCCATTTGCAAAGAGCATTGTAACAACAAGATTCAGAATGAGAACTTTATGAGATAAATTTTGAAGAAATCTAGAACGAACAGAAGAAGGATTTTTGGTTTTGGGAGTGGCATGTGATATTTATCTAGATTATTGTACCATTATGTCTTTACTGTTGCCTCCAGACTAGGATTTTTTGCTTTGACTGAATGATGTTAATTAACAAATGCGTAGCACACTGTAAGAAAATATTGCCCTGTATAAAAAGAAGTAACTCTGTGGCCCTTTGAAAGTAAACAGTGCAGATTGATCATGTTTCTGAATTACTGGCTGAATCCAAGACCTTGAATAAAAATAACTAGATGGATAAAAATCTGCCAGGATTTTATGGCATATTGTTCACATTTCTCTCTCCTTGAAATGTTCTTATTCAGAACAATTAATTTTTTATTACAGTAAGTAAACTGAGGTAAAATTCAAGAAAAAAAAGAAATCAATTCAAAACTACATTTTTGGGCCTTCAAAATAGCTTTTATGGATAGGTCAAATTCTGAGGAGAAGCTATCTCTAAGTGCCATATTTCAATGCATTTACTTACAATCTAGACAGTTTCCAGTGGATGAAAGCTCATGAATGGATTTGGTGCTTAGGCTAAGACTATCCAACTTGGGCATTTTGTGACTAAGTCAGTGGTGGTTTCTGTTTACAATGTATTTGCAATAGCTGTTTATATCCTAAATGCTTCAATATTATTGTATCATACTGGTATTTCACGTTACAGTCATAATGTAGAAAGAAAAAAGGAGAAAGCCTCTGTATATGTTCAGAAAAATGAATATATAGTTATTTTTTTTGTAGTAGAATTTCTTAAGTGTGACAATCACTACTTGAGCCAATTGAAATGTTAGATGTTACTGCTAGGTAGTATTTTTCTTATTATTTTTAGGTAAATATGTTCTCACTCACTAAAATATTGTGTTTTAGACAGACTGAAAGTATTCACATTTCAAAGTTGTCAAAATATTTCTTTTATACTTTGTAAAAACTCTATCTTCCCAGTATTTATAGAAAGTAAAAATTTTTAGTGTTCCTTGTAAACAGGAAATTATAAAAAATTGTAACTTACTCAAGATCTCATTGCAAATTTGTGGCAGAATAACTAATGT